TCTTTTTATTTGAGGAGGACTGTTTTCCAATAAAGAAAAAAATACTTTAATTTTTCCACATTTATTTCTGAACAAGAAGTACTGAAAATGGCTGTGTTTTGAGATGTTTACATATCTGTGTTTTGAATTTAGGTAAAATATCTCACTTGTATTAGAATTGTGAATTACTGTCTGTACGTTATCGTGATAATGTGAAACCTCTTGGTATTAATTTTGGGCTTTGCATTTTCATACTATTATTTGCACCAAAAATTATTCATTAGACTTGACTGTTTTTAATAGTTTCTCTGCTCTAGGCAGATGGCTTAATTTCTGGGGTCTTCAAGTTGTTTCTGAGGAAATTGTTGTTAATTTGGAACTCTAAATGGATAGGATTTCTAGAAACTCGGATAGGATTTCTTTGGTGAGACCCATGATCAGTCCATACATTTGGCTAGTTCAGATTTATAATAAGTTCCTGGCCCCTCCCATGTCTTAACATGAGCTGTCACTGGCTACCAGCCTGGCTGGCTTTTCCATGCAGCCCAGCAGTGCCTTGGCTTATTATTGGAGACTCCAGTTGACGTGAATCTGTTATATTTAGTTCCTTCTTGGGAATTGTTTGGAATTTGTTCTGTTATTGCAAGTTTCCATTTTGGAACTTCTGGATGCACAGAGCTGAATCTATGGCCAAGACTCTAGTAGGGGAGTAGCTCTGTTATATCTATTATTTGATACTATCAAAACTGCTTAGAAATCAGTTAACTCTTCTCATTCTCTAAATCCAAATTTATTTCACACATTTAATTTGTATTAGGGAGAGGCAACTTATAATTAGCAGTTATAAATAAAGAGAGGCTAAAAAGGCTAGAGTGAACTTTAACCAAGTATTGATCTGACTTGATTGATTACTTTATTGTTTTGGAATTTGCCTTGTCTTATTTGATAAAATTAATTTTTTTTCTCCTAAGAATTTAATAGATTTTCAAGGTTGGGAGATTTCTTAGCAGTCGTCTACTTTATCTCCTTTCCCCTTGGACTTAATATCTAACAGCTACCATTGTTGGAATGTTATCATGTTCCCAGCCCTTTGCTAAGGCTGTTTCTTCTCTGGGCTGTGTACTATTCTGAGTAAAAATATCTCAATCCTTACAACAACTTTTATGAGATAAATAGAGTTATCATCCTCATTTTTCTGATGAGGAGAGAGGTACAGAGTTACTTAGCTGTTAAGTGACAGAACTTAGATTTGGACCCAGGCAGCTGGCTTTGGGGTCCATGTTCTTAACCACCATGCTGTATTTCCTCACCACTTAGAAGACAGACATGTTTTTTGAATGGGAGGGTTGACTCTTTGTGACAAAGTTCCCTGTAGGAAATGTAGCCTGGAATCCCTACAGCTGCTGAAGTAAGGAACCTTGTTTCTGGTGGTGGTATAGTTTATTTAGTGTGGATTTTCCTTTCCTTTGCAATTTTTACCTTCCTCTGTATCTAGGTAGGGATCTGCAGTTAACTCATGCATCTTTCCTTCTCTCTCAGGCCCTCCAAGCAGGCTAGACAGATTTCACTCATTTTGTAGAAGGAACTTATCAAGGTTTAATCCAAGAACCAAAGAAGTGAACTACTTTACTTACCAGAGGGAAGTAGAGGAGAGGGCCCAGCTGTGCCAGCTGAATTTAGTGCTTTAATGAGTTACTCTGATGGATTACCCTTTGGCCTATATCTGTGTAATAACTAAAAGTACAGACTCAAGATTCAGACTAACTGGGTTTAAAATCTAGCTTTACCTTGTATTCTCTGTGTGATTATATAACTTGTCTAAGCCTCAGCTTCTTCATCTGAAAAATGGGCAATATAGTACCTATTTGACAAAATAATTATGATGATTAAATTAAATAATAAAGTGCTAGGAACAGAGTAACAGTGTTTATTGGCTTGGAATTGTGGGACTTCTCTGGGACACTCTGAGGAAGACCATCATTTTATCTGTGAGATATTAGACTGTGGTTTTGTAGGACCTGCCTGACCCTGTATTTGCTAATTTAAAGGAATTCTTTGAAATTTCTGGTCTGTTGATACCCTTTCCATGTTTTCCAGTGATGCTATAATTTTCCTCATTAAAATTTTTTCTTGTAATTTTTAATAGGCTTTTAGAAAAGAAAATAGATACTTATGCTCTGTCTACCATTTTGAACTAAAAATTCTGGACATTATCATTACAGAGCCTGAGGACTACATTAACTTTTGTAACATTGCTAATGCTGAGCTAATGGTTAACTAAAACTTTTAAGTTCTTTGTTGTTATTGTTAGATTTGTTATTGTTAAGCCACATCCTCCCTCATTTGTTCCTGTGCAGTTGTTTTTTCTGCCCCAAGGTTTAGATTATATTTATTATTCCTACTAAATTGTCATTCAGTCATCATTCTGAATTGATAGTTTTAGATTTTGATTTAATTTCCCTTTCAATTTTCTCTCACTTTCTAGTTTGTTTATTTTGATCTAGTTTGAAGCAATGTAAAATAACACTTTATTACTAAAAATGTTAAATAATGCAAATGTCAAAAACATTTTTTTAATTGAGTAAGAATCTCTTAGTTTCAAAATTGATGAGCCTGGTGAATTGTAAACCATGTTTACTCTAGGTAGTACCCCTTCAGCTGGTAATCAGAAATACTGAATATCCTATGTCAGTGTTCTCTGAACCATATGATTATTTACATCCATGGGAACTTCTGCACGTGGTTTTGGTGATGGTTGTGCTGTTAGTTTTATTTCTATTGTCAAATTTAGAATGCTTTTTATATTCTGTAGTATTGTCATCCAAGTGGTCATTACATTAAATGGGATAAGTACTGAAAAGAAGCTCGAATAACTGCTGATGCTCCTGTTGCTAATTTAGTACAGAGCACGCTGGAAATATTAGAACTAATGCTGAGAAAATAAAAGAGCAGAATTGAACCCGGAGCCCTTTTGTTTTAAAAACTTCTGGCAGCCTTGCTCTGAAGTCACAACCACTCTAATGCATTCCTAAGCCAATATCATCTGTGTTAAAATAGGAAATATTTTTGATATCTGAGAAGGAAGTAATAGTGATACAAAAAAACTTTACTACAAATGCTTCGTGTTTTAAAGCATTCTTAGAAACAAACCTTATTATAGTCATTTATTGTGGTTTGAAACTATGCTTGAGAAAAGAAATATAGTACAGTAGTTGTCTGTCAGTATGTCTTTACTTTTATAGGAAAGTAGCTTTAAATTAGGCAGAATTTGAATTATATTTTAAGGCATGAATTCCTTGTATAAAATGTAATCACTCTGTATTCTTTAATTCATCTTTTGTCATGTTCTGTACTTATATTTCATTAACCATTATAAATTAGTGAATTATTAATTAATGTAGTTCTGTATTTGCTCTTAAACATCAAAAGTTTACTCCTGGCTTAAACGATAGTTATTTGTTCTATTCTTATTTTTAAATGAAATGAAGATTTGAATTAGTTCTCTAATCAAAAAAACACATTTTCTTTTTCACTTACATGACTGTTTGATGTTAAATGCAAGGTGTTGAAATCACTAGAGGGCAGCACATTTTATCTGCATACGGGATGTCTGTGACTCATAAATGCCATTCTGTGCTGCTCCTAGCACGGGGAGTTAAATTTAGGTCACCACTATTTTTCTGGCATGCTTTGTATACACCTGCTCCTGTAACTCAGAGTGAGACAGAACACGGAAGTTATGCACAGAGACTTGAAGTAACATTAGTGTGCGTTTCCATTCACCTGCACGTTCTGGCTAACAGCATCTAGAAGTGTTATTATGTTTATTTGTAGTTTCTGTTTTTCAGATAATTGTAAAATTCTAATTGCTAAATTATAACTTTGTAATTGTAATTTTTGAAGGCTCAACCCAAAAACTCTAATATGATTTGACAGTA